CATAATTCAGAAGTTAAAAATAATATAATTCAGAATTACTTTTTCATATAAAAATGAATTCTAGGTTCCAGAAGTAAAAATAACTTCTGAATCATGCAATCTAAAAAATATATATTCTAAATTATACCATCTCAAAATTATATTTTAAAATAAAAGTTTCCAAATTATATAATCTGAAAATTTTTATATTTATAAGAATGCAAAAGAAAAATTGTGAAGTGTAAAAAATATATTCTAAAAGACAAAGATAGTTAACCCGTTGCATTTCTCATTTGATTATTTCAAATTGACTCAATATAAAAGATTATGACACTGGATAAGAGCAATATGTTCCCTCAGACACCTTTTACATTATTTGAAGGCAAAAGCTTATACTGCTAATCACTTTGGTGCTATAAAACCAATTATTGTTCCAGATGATCTAATATGAAATATTGTTCCAAATTATCTATTCTAAAATATATATTTTTATTATTTAATTTCCATTTAATTTTTCATCAATTATAAATATAAATTGAAGAGGGACAATGGAATTACTCTAATTCTTATAAAAAAAACAGAAAAAGAAAGTCCATTCTTCCAAATTTCACATAACAAAATAAGCCACCAAAACATGCACTGGATTTGTAGTATTAGGGAGCAACATTAATTTTTTATAAAATTTGATGACAATGTATTATTGTGTTTCAAATTGAGTAACCTTATAATTATATTGTGAATTACGTAATTCTAATATTTTAGATTATATATTCTAATATTTTATTTCAAAATACGTAATATCAACATTCTTGATTATATAATGTAAAAAGTATTCTGATTATAATCTGCTTAAAGCATATTAGTAAATTTTATTTATTTTAGGAAGGTGGAAGGGATAAAGGAAGAAATAGCTTTGAAAATGTTTCTTTGTGTTTCCTCAAGTTCTTCTATTGGACCCCAATTACATCCTTTATGTAAAATGCAATTGGGTCGTAATTATATGGTCCAAGTTTAGTTTTGGGTAATTTCTTTCAAAACCTTCACACTTTCTTTCTGTTCTTCGATAAAGTTCAAATTGTTCATGGATTGAAAATATTTTGCATTGGAAAATTTGATTTTCTATTTTAGAAGAATGTACAATTTAAAATCTAAAAATATATTTCAAATTACAAAATCCAAAAACTCAGATTATATCATCTATAATATATTTTAAATTAGAAAATATATTTTGAATTATTTAATTTATAATATGTTTTTAAATTGAATAATTTAAAATACATTTTAAATTATATAATCCAAAATATGTTTCATGTGATTTATTAACTTAGAATACATTTCTAGACCCATTAATAATTTTCAAATAAATAATGCAATCCAAAAAGTATATTTTTAGATTTCGCAATTAAAAAATCTTTAGACTTTTTCAATATCCTTTTGTTGTGCATAAAAAAAAAACTGAGTGGGTTCATAAAGAAACTAGAAGAGTAGGGTTAGAAACTTGGGATGTCTTTTTTTTGGGGCTTTCTTTCTGCACCCCATATTTTTCTTCAATCCTCTCAAATTTCATCGTGATGTCCATTATAATCCTTTTGGATTTTGAAATTCCATTCTGGATTGTTTTCAGATTTCAAAATCTGATCATGATTTTTTTAAAATTTTAAAATTTGATTTTGGATTTGGAGATTTTGAAATCAGATTTTAAATTTTTTAAGATTTTGAAACTGGGTTTTGAATTTTCAAATTTAAAAATCTGATTTTGGATTTTTTTTTTCAAATTTTGAAATTTGATTATAGATTTCACGAATTTTGAAACAGTTTTTCGAATTTCAAAATCCGATTATGGATGTTCATAAATTAGATTTTAAAATTTAGTTCTAGATTTTTTTTAATGGATTTTGAAATTTGGTTATTTTGGATTTTTATTATTTATTAAATTTTGAAATCTAATTATGTATTGAGTTTTTTTTGTGTTTTGAATTTTGAAATTTAATTTTTGTAAGGAGAAATGAGACGAAAGAGATGCAGAGACGGAGGTGTTGTTAGAGCACTGAACATCACAAAAATAGTTTTTATTCAGTATCTTAAATAGATACAACATTACATTTTCTAATTATATTTATATTTAAATGGGTGGTATCCTAGCCCAGCTGAAAAGATAGCATTATACATACTTGGACTCCCACTTCAAGTTTTAGAGCAAATAAAGTAGAAAAGCAATTTCAGCCCTTACACCACCAAATCATTAGTAGAGATATTCCACATTCTAAGAAATATTCCACTAGAAAAGCTATTAAACTAAAAATGTTGTAAAGTTGAAGCTATAACTTATGTGCAGCATAATTAATAGATGTATATTTGAAGTGTTTGACAAGGCAAAGAGAGTAACAACGTTATTCATTGTTTTGGGACAGAAGTGATGATGTATGCAAAGTTGAAGCAGAGTAAAAAGTTGCATGTGGGTGTTGGTCAATGTGTCTTGATGGATCTTGTGCTATAGCTTCTGCATCTTCATCTTATTTGCTGGCCAAGGCATCATGTTTCATACCAAACAAGTGAAACTAAATTGGTGAATCTATTATTTTTTTAGCTTAAATATTGCTTATAGCGAGGTTGATTGTGGTATTATTGAGAGGACAAGGATTAGACAATGTAGAGCTTCATTAGTGATTGGGACACATTGTTGGAACTAGGAATATTGAAATTCAACAAATTATACATTTATTTAACCATTTGCTTCATGTGATTGTGAGGCATTGCCTAAAAAAGTTTTCAATTCTAATTCTCTATTTTTTTCTCGTCACTTAACTGATAAATCAATATTTTACATTCATTTGACACATCTAACAATGATAAAATAGTCATAGAAGAGTGAACTTTTGTAGTTTTTCGAAAAAGAAGAAAAATAATAATACTTTGACATGATTATTTACTTTGACACTCAAATGACACGCTGTGGATCCCAGTAATAATTTTATTCAGCCAATTACATTGCATTATTTTACAAATTAATTACATGACACCGTGTGAAATGAATATATTCGATACATTGAGATGTCAAGGTACTAATACTCAAAAAATAAAGTGAAAATTAAAAAATAATAATATCAAATGAATGTAAAAAAAATGTGTCAAAAGATATATTTCTTTAGTCATTGTACAAATGACTTGTAGTAAAAATTTTATTTCATCACTACGTTGATTTGTGATAGATGTCATTTAATAATTATTTCAATCACAAATCATTTGGTCACTATTTTTTTATACAAATTAGTAAAATGGAATGAATGACTTAATTAAATTATAAAAGAAATTTAATAAGAAGAAAAAGGGAAAAAGGTGTGTCTAAGAAGTAAATTTGAATATAGTAACGAAGAATCGCTAAGTTATTAGGGTTGGGATAGCTGTGGGGAATATTTTATTATTATATAAAGAATGTTGATAAATGGTGGAAGGAAGGGTAGGTAGTCAAAGTCAAAAAAGTTGAAATCCCAAACAGAGTTTCCACAAGCACAAAGCTAGGGCATTGGATTTGATAAATTAATAAAAGCCCCAACAAAAAGACATGAATGAGCATTCCTAGAGCTTGTTAGCTTACGATAGGATTCTATTTGAGAACTTAGACACAGACGCACATGCATGAAGCATGCATTTTTTTAATATTCGACTATTCCAACCCAAATCCCATCATCTCTTCAAACTTCCAACATCAACATCAAAACCCTTTTAACTTCAATAAACTAAACTTTTTCTTTTAACACTCTAAATTTTTTTCTTTAATTATTGTCTTTATTGTAAATTTTAATAGGATGTCATAATATTTTAAAAATTTAATTTTTTAACAAAATTAATTTGTAAAGTGATGTGAAGTCATTTATATATTATAAATTTTGTGTTATTTTTTTGTCTGTGTGAAATCTCGAATAAATTTATGAATTCAACTAATAACTATCGATATGATAAGTTTTCAATGATTATAATAAAAAATAAATTTTAATTTTAACTCAGTTTTACGAAACTAACTTATATAGTGACGTTTTGTTTCTAATACGTGAATCTTCAATCAAATTAACAAAATAACCTTCAAATTTCAATCATTATAAACTCTTGTTGAAGAAAAATGTAGTAGTAAGGCACCTTTTTCTTATTCACTCTTTGAAACAATGAACATTGGATAAATTTTGTTGAAGTTCTCATTAAATAACCCAAAATTATACACTTTATTCAAAAAGACTCGTTTATAAGTTATTAAATAAAAGAAGTATATATCGATGGAAGCGTTAAAGAAAGGTCTTGCCAACACTATTTTAGTTGCTTTTTTAGTAAAAGACAAAAGTTCAAGCTAAAGATGTCACTAGCTATATATTGCTCAAGTCCAACAAATTATATCCCATACCCCAAAAGCATGAAAATAGCTTAAAAAATGGAGGCTTTAAGTCCTCCAGAGGTTAAATAGGAACCTCTGGGCCCCTAATTTGCTGGTTCCATCACTCACCCACTAAAGCCATGCAGTGGGGTCAAAACCTAAGGATTGAGTTAGCAAGTGATGAGACATGTTAGGGTGAGCTAATCAATATTAATCATACATGCAAAACTTTAGAATAATTGCCTTTTAATTAATACTTACGATGGCTAATGTTTGCATGGACATCATAATCTATATAATTCCATATACAGTACAATAGAATCTATAAGCTTATATTTATACATTTGTATCTCAATTGATTGCAAGCAACTACACTAACACACTAATTTTTTTTAAAAAAAACAACTAAAAGTTCACATTTTTTTTTCAAAAAAAATATTTTTGAAGAATTAATGTGAATTGTGTATAAATGAAAATGGCGGGTAATTGGAATTTGTTTCAGGGTTAAAGTTAATTATGAATAAATTTGCTTTATCTCTTAATTGATTGCATGCAATTACTAACACACTAAAATTTAATTTTTTTTTTCAAGTTTACATCTTTTTTCTCAAAAAAAATAGTTTTTGAAGAATAAATGCAAAAGGGTGTATAAATGAAAATGGGGGTAATTGGTAATTGATATGGTTTAGGGTTAAAGTTAATTAAGAATAAGTAGTTTAATTATATTGATGAAAAGTTAGTAGTGTAATAAATAGAGAGATAAAGCATGGGAACAAAAAGTAAGGAAAAGGATTGCGACCCACTACACTAGTACATGCTACAACACTTTAACAAAGTTCACTTTTCTTGGAAATCTCTTTGATGAAGAAGGGGGCAGTGTTTGTGCATGGATAAAGGTGAAAACAATCTGCAAGAAGCAGATGCTCAGACACAGAAATCATTCATAAAATAATATTAGGTTTTCTTTCCGAGGAGGCACGGGTACTCCGCTGATTTCTCCGATGAATTTCGATTTCCTTCCCTCGTTGTTTTCTTCACTTGTTTTCATGCCATCTTATCACTACTTATTCAACCCTTCTTATTATATTCATTCATCATTTTTATCACCCTCACTACTCCAACAATCACAAACAAACAAGGAGTGAAAAAGGCCACATAAAAAAGAAAGATTCACTTTGTTCTTTTCTCATTGAATCAAAACACCCCTACCAGCTATGTAATAAAACCAAACAACATTGTTTTTCGACTGTCACATTTCTTTCTCTCCTCTCCTAAATCATTTTTCCTTAATTAGTATTCATGTGTTTCCGAATAATCAAGTTTAGTTTTTATATTATGCATGTGCTTACAACTTTAGTTTTTATACCTTTATGCTCATTGTCTCACTTTATTCTCATTGCATCATATTGACATTCCTCTATCACTACAAGAAAATGATTAATTACCGAAGGTATATTTCCGACGGTCTTTTGACCTTCGATAAAGTTGATTTTACCGAAGGACTTTAACCTTCGGTATTGGTATAGTGATTTTACCGAAAGAATGTGGCCGTCGGTGTAAGGTTCGACTTATGAAATTAGAATTTGAGATTTTTCTCTCTCGTTCTCCCAAATTTTGTCTTCCTTAAAACTCTCCCGCACTCCCTCGCCTACCTCCCGCGCCACCCAGAGCCGCCTCCGTTCCTACCACCTCATCGTCCGGCTCCGCCGACCGCACCGTGGACTCTGCCGACCGCGCCGTCGACTCCGCCCTTGCCGCTGACCTCGGCCTTCGCCTCGTCCACGTCGACACCTCGCGCACCGAGGAGATCGCAGACACCGTCATGGGGCTCTTCCTCGGCCTCCTCCGCCGCCATCGAAGTCATGAAAATGCTCTCCATTCGATCCGTCGGCCTCTCGCTCTCCCTGCAGAAGGGCCTGCCTTTGGGAAGCGGTCTGGGATCGAGCGCCGCCAGCGCCGCCGCTGCGGCCGTGGCGGTGAACGAGATGTTTGGGAAGAGATTGAGCGTGGAGGATCTTGTTGTGGCGTCGTTGAAATCGGAAGAGAAGGTTTCGGGGTATCACGCGGACAACGTGGCCCCATCGATCATGGGGGGTTTCGTGCTGATTCAGAGCTACGAGCCGCTGCAGTTGATAGAGCTAATGTTTCCGGCGGAGAAGGAGCTGTATTTCGTGCTGGTGAGTCCTGAATTTGAAGCCCCGACGAAGAAGATGCGGGCAGCGCTCCCCAGCGAGATTGGGATGGCGCACCACGTTTGGAATTGCAGCCAGGCTGGCGCTCTGGTGGCGGCGGTGTTGAAGGGTGACGTGGTTGGTTTGGGGAAGGCTTTGTCCTCTGACAAGATCGTTGAGCCCCGGCGTGCCCCCTTAATTCCCGGCATTGAGGCTGTTAAGAAGGCTGCCCTTCAGGCTGGGGCCTTTGGCTGTACCATCAGTGGCGCTGGCCCCACCGCCGTTGCCGTCATCGATGATGAGTCTACCGGACATGCCATTGCCCAACACATGATTCAAGCCTTTCTCAGCCACGGCAATTTGAAGGCTTCTGCAAAAGTCTTGCAGCTCGATCGCCTTGGTGCTAGACGCATTCTAGATTGACTTCTATCTCAGTGCCTTCCTTCTAATGGTACCTTCTCTTCTCTTCCCTCCTCCACTGTTTGATCACCCTAATAACATTTCATATCTCACATACATTTTTCATCATTGCTTCTGTTACTCTCTGACGCCACCATTTTACCGTAATGCTTCTTACATCCTTTTGCGTTTTTGGACTACTTCCTTGCACAAATTGTTCTGTTATGATGAATCACTCTACTGACTCTCTTTGTCAAAGAAAAAACGGTTGCCATGTTCTTGCCATGTCTCAACTCTCCACTTTTCTCCTTCGCATCAGAAACTTGAATGGATTTGTTGTTCAGTCCGTGCAAACAAGCATTTTTGTTACTGGAATAGTGTTAGCTGGAATAGTGTAGCGACCATTGATGTTGATATGGTGTGTATTGCTTATTCACTGTAAACTACTGACTTGCTATTTATTTAATTTTATATTATGTAGTTAATTTGCTTTATAAGTGAACTATTGTCATATACTGTCATGTGTTGGTAAGTCATATGTATGATTTGTGTAGACCTGCACTGCAAAAGAAAGGACACCTTGTTGAAATTGTGCTTCCCAAATATGATTGTAAGCAATATGATCGTGTCTGCAACTTACGGGTATGCCATTTCATTAAGAAAATAATTGAACGTGTTGATAGTCTTGGTAGTTGGTATCCTGCACTACTTGAAATAATGTGATTATTCATTCAGGCTTTGAGCGTGGAGATAGAATCATACTTTGATCACCAATTATACAAAAGTAAAATCTGGGTTGGCAGTGTTGTAGGTATTTTATTAGATATTTTCGTTTTAATTGATTGTCTTTTACTGGTTCAGTAACTTCACTTTGACTGTGCAGGTCTTCCTGTTTATTTTATTGAGCCCCAGCATCCTTCTAAGTTCTTTTGGAGAGGAAAATTTTATGGCGAGCATGATGATTTCAGACGATTTTCATTTTTTAGCCGTGCTGCTCTTGAGTTTCTTCTGCAAGCTGGCAAGAAGCCAAATATCATTCATTGCCATGATTGGCAGACAGCATTTATTGTATGAGCTGTATAGTTCTTTCTAGCATATTTTTGCTCTTTCAGTTACTAATAGTATGGCATATCTGTTTCTTTGCTAGGCTCCTCTGTACTGGGAGATATTTGTACATAAAGGATTAAATTCAGCTAGGATATGCTTTACATGCCACAACTTTGAGTATCAGGGGACTGCAGCAGCTTCAGAGTTAGACTCATGTGGTCTTGTTAGCCAGAATCTAAACCAATCAGATAAAATGCAGGACAACTCAGCACGGGATAGAGTTAATTCTGTCAAGGTAAGGTCATAAAATATTACTGATCATATTATATATCTTCAATAAATATAGGTAATAGAGATTTTCCTTTCATGATCAGGGTGGGATTGTTTTCTCAAACATTGTGACAACAGTTTCACCTACTTATGCCCAAGAAGTGAGAACTGCAGAGGTATGGTTTATTTCTTGTTCTAGTGCAGTATGTATTTTCTAGTTCTACCAAAATATCTTTTGTCTTTAATTAATTAATATAAATAATAAGGCAACAACACATGTTGGCACAAACATATAGATGTCTCCACGTAATGTTTTTCAAGGGAGTTGGTTCTTGACCATGACATATTGAGTCTTTAGAATTTGATTTTGCAACTTCTGCGTCTCAAATCAACTTTAGAATTTGATTTGGGGAGATTTTATTTTGTTCATTTTTCAAGCCCAAGTAGCTTTCAAGTGCAGGTGTGCTCCACCTAACAACTTAAGCTTTCTGTAAATTTTGTTCTCAACAAGAATAAAAAGGG